TTGGTTTTTAGAGAGAACATTTACAGGCTCTCGGTAATAGTATTATCTATTGAATAAATAACTATGTAAAAAATGCGAAAAAAAAAAATTTATAAAAAAAAAAAAAAAAAAAAAAACAATTTTTAAACATTTTACATTCAATAGTGTAGAAATCTCAGAAAATTTTTTTCGGTTACTTGAAATTATTTGTCGCGCAACATTCAAAAGTTTTATTCTATGGAAAAGTACTCTCAAAACTCGACTTACATGTCATACAAAATACTTCAGATTTAAATAAGTAGTTTTATTTAATTATGCTCAAAAACAATTATGCTACGATAAACTTTCAGTAGCGGTTGTTCTCGCTATTAATACATGAACAAACTACTTATTTGAATAGACGATTTGAATACTGTTACGTATTGTGCTAAACGGCAATCTAGTACGCGCGTCTAAGCAAATATCTTATTTTGTTCAACTGTCAAACGAAACTGGTAAAATGACTTCTCAATTTCGATGTAAATTTATAAAAATAAAACAATATTTAAAAAATGCTTAATCATAATTGTGTGAGTATAAAAAATTATACAAAAGTGATGTATCAAGATCCAAGTATACTGTACATACAAGAGATGACCTTGTTGCCGCTGTATTGTCCTAACCATATCTCGAATCGAGCGTCGAGAATTATTGCAATTTTACCTTTTTTATGTCGACAAAAAGAACTAAAAAATATAAAATAATTCTAAATTTTTAAAATAATATTTGTGTGTTGATAATCTATATTCTAATTTTGTTTTTATCAATGTCGTAAATAAATATAATGAAGGTCACTTTCGAGCCAAAATGTTAAACATATTTATAAAAAATTAAAGATATAAATACACACATAAAAGGATTTCGATTTCGATTTCCTTTGTTTGTAACGTCAGTCTCGAAGAGTGTACTTCTATCTTTAATAGTAATTTTACTGTGGTTAATTGTCATTCGGTTAATTGATATGTCTGGATCTATTCTGAGTCGTCCAATAAAAAATAGAGTCAGAATCTATGTAAATAGTTGTTATCTTATCAACGTAAATATAGTTAAATTTTACATCTGTCATGACATTTACATTGATAAGATAACAACCACATGGATATTCTATTTTTTATTCTAAACGATTTAGAGGAAGAGAGAGAAAGAGAGAGATCAGTACATATCAATTAATTTGATAACAATTAACGAGTAAAATCTACTATTATGCAAAAGAACATAAACTCTTCGAGATTGACGTTGGAAATGAAGAAAAAATATTTTTGTTTATGTCATGTTTATTTTACTTTTATTATGACAATTTCTTAAATTCTTTATTAAATGATTATTTTGCAACTCTGAAGAAGGTTCTTCTAAGAGATCAAAACGTTTGCTCAAAAGTGACTTCATTATAATTAATTATTTGTTATTTTACATTATATACGGGCGTTTCGTGTATTCCTTTTTTTTAAGTTGCAAATATAGTTTGGCAGCTAAAATTTAAAATATGCCTTTTTCAATGGGTTTACGCATATAATACGTGCAAAAATTGCCACTTATAATTGTAATTATCGTAGCTTTTTATTACGCGAGCAAAAGTTTAAAAATTAAAAAAAATTGTTTTTTAAAAAGTCTTCGTAGGCTTTATAAGCGTTTTGCTTAATAAGTAATTCACAAATTCGGAAGAGTTTGCAAATAATTCAACACAATAAATACATTAAGAATGTAAACATGTTTTATGAAAATACAGACGTATGATGTAAGTTTGTTGCATTCATTGTACTGGACTATGCAATTTATATGACCGTCACGTATAAATACACAAAATCGAATACAAATCGTGTCATTGTCATCAAGACCGCTTGCTCAGTTGGAATCCAATGATAATTGCTCATTGTATCAAAAAAAGAATGCCAGTGTACGATCGCGATCGATAAAATCTCATAGATTATGTTTATTCTGATTATTTTGTTCTGAGAAAGAAAAATATGCGATTGGAAAACGCCGTGTTACAATATTTTGTAATGTTCGTAAGATTAGATTAGGAAAACAATAAAAAGGATATACCGTTCTAAAGCGAGAGAAGAATGACATTATACAGAAAATGTAAAAGTGAATCCAAACGACAAAATAATAATATTTTTTTTATACGTCAATGTATGTTGATAAATCACGTGTAAATATGTTAAAAAGATTTGTTTTAAGAGTTGATATAAAGTGTTCGTGATAATAACTCCAAAATCAAGAACCTTATCTGCAAAATGACATTCGAATCACAATCTTTATTCGTCTTGCTAAACGTTATCATTATTATACGTGCTGTCGGGAATAATTATTATTCATTGATTTATAACATAATATATTATTTACAAAATATCTCGAGATAATATCTATATATTGTTTTATAATATTCTTACGAGTATGTATGAGTGTTATTTTGTTTATTGGAAAACAAAGTATATTTAAAATTAAACTAAACAGTTCAGTAGTTTTAAAACAATTGTCTCGGAAGATATATTAAGTTATCTAAGATATATTAGATATATTAATATTATTTATAATAATAATATTTATATAATTATTTAAACTAATATTAATGATAGATATATATTAGATTATTTAAGTTATCTAATATATATTAGATAACTTAATTATAATATATCTTCTGAGACAATTGTTTTAAAACTACCTGTATTAAGTAAATAATTAAAATAATTAAAATAATTAAAATACAATTATAAAATAATAAGTATCAAGATAAGTAATTAATCTCTGTACAAATATTTGTTTATCATAAATTTAATTATGACTCGTGTGTCTTTTATCACATATATCTAAAGTATCATTCTTTTATTGAAACAAAAATAAAAGGATTTTTTTGTAAAAGGATTAATTTTATAATTATATAGAGGAGAAAAATAAACAAGTATTGACTATTTTTTAAAATTATATTGATATCTATTTTAATTGAGATTTTTCTGTACGCGCGAAATATGGTTTTTAAAGAATACTTAGTCGTCTCGAATGTGTATTGATAATTCACCTTTTGGTTTGTTCGATGGGACTTTCATTCTCTCCGAAAGAGAGACGACGGAGACCCTTTTCTTCTGAAGTGAAGACGACACCATTTTGTGAATGAATCTTTTAGTGAAGAAGACACTGTGTAAATCTCCCGGTGAAGAAGACACGGGAGTAAAGAGCAAAACCGACTACGATCTTCCGATCGTACCTCCGTAGCTTTATACTGCACCCATCATCAAAACGTATTCTCCCACTTTTTTGCGCTCGAACGTGTGTTCTTAAACAACAATTTTCAAGTGTATGTCACATTAGCCTTGATTATCGGAATTATTATATAGCAGAATGCAACTAATCGCAACTGCACAAAAAGACTATACTTGTAGAATTGCTTGAGGCTTTTATCTTACCTTTTTTGCAATTTAATTATATATATTGTGTAAAATTAACATTTAATTATGCTGTTATTAGATTGATAATTGGACGGAATCAATTGCATCGAGTTTACAAATCAATTACAAACTAATAGTCATATATTAACTTTATTTACAGTTTTAATATATAATTATATTAATATGTAGAAAAAATATGATACAGAAAAAAATGCGGTTTTTTAAACAATTTTAAACCGATATTTGTAATAAATAAGAGATTTGAGATTTGAAAACAAATTTTACACTATCTTTTAATATCTAATTTATTTTTCTCTCAAAATATTGTAATCAATTGCGCATCAATAAATATAATCGCGAATTTTTTTGTCCTACAAAGATAACATCGTTAAGAGGAACGATGTTCAGTGTTTGTATTTTGTTAGATAAGATTCAATCTTCAACGGACATCACGGTGAAAATATTACATTTCTTCCAATTTGCACATGTTGAAAGAAAAAAAATGCGATATAACTATACAAAAAGAAAGAATTTTTGACAGGAAGCCAAAAGAATTTCAAAAATAAATAAAAAATGAGTTATTTTGGCTTTACTATTTTTTGTGTTTTCATTAACATTGTTTCGATTACGTATATATAAATTGCATCAAAAGATATAATTACAATAAATATTTCTGAAATCGATCTCAATAAAAAAAAAGAATTTGTTTTTCTAATCTAATTAGGAATGTATGTGGTGATAATAAATCAGACACTGTGACACTATATTGATGAAATGAAGGACAAGTATCTGTTTGTCTAATATAAAAAGCACAACACCAATGTGATCATTATACTTTATGAGCAATGATATGTACAGCTACGCATCAGTTGCGACAATAAATAGCGATAATAAATAACTTCGATTTCAAAAAGTTCATTTAACTTTAATATACGTACAAATCAGTTCTGGTTTGCAAATTACACACACACACACACATACACATACACACACACACACACACAATAGCCTCAGAATAAACTATATAGAATTGTGTACATCATAAACTTGAAATCTCATTCTTTGTGACTTTTTCCTGTTTCTGCTGTTGTTTCTGACGCTGACCTTCTTCAGGGTCATTCCACCATTGCACTTCTCCCTTACTCCATATTATGAACACTAAATTACCTAGGAAATAAACTCCCGCCGAGACAAAGAATACGATATTCCACAGATCTGCATTACTCTGAAAAATAAAGATTTTCTTGGAACAACTTCTTCATTTCCAGAATATTGTACTTGCCAGGCAATACGGGCACATAAATATTTTATTTAAAGATTGCCCAGCACGTTCTGCAAGCGAAAATGTTCATTATACCTTATCATAGACAATCTTATTACATATTATTGGCGCAACGATGGCGGTGATAGTGGCGAGGCAATTAGTAATAGACATCATGGTACTGGCAAAGTTCGGACTGAGATCGATGTGATTAATCTGGAAACCGCAAAGAGAACCAGCATTCAGCGCGACCGCGATGATAAGAACAATCACGGACCAGACATAGTTATTGGTAGGCAAAACGCTCATACACGCCAGAGCGATGGCTGGACCCCAATGTGCCAACGTGTTGGATATTTTCCTTACTAGGCCTCTGGACATGCCTTTTTTTAATGCGTAATCGGATAACCAGCTTACGGGGAAGCTAAGGATCCACATTGCCAAGTACGGCAATGCGGCGATTCCGCCACTCTGTAAAAGACAGAAGTATAATATAATCCCCTAATTGACGACCGGAAAATATTTGCTCTCTGATTAATGAAAAGAAAAATAAGTTTATTTATAAATGAAGAAATTATTAAATATTACTCTTGTATAAAAACAAAGTCCCATGTTTTCGCAAATTCGATTGAATTAAACCATGACAAAATGTGAGCTTTATAAAAGATGTTTTCAAAAATCATTTTTGATTGAATTCGCAAACGAACCAGAAATTTACACAAGCATTCGTCTTAGGAGATCAGATTCTATCTAGGATCAAATGTTTCCATGTAATAACTATACTAAACCGATGCAGTCAATAAATAATGTGATTTTATATAAGAAAGTGATAGTGTTTCATCTTTTCATTACTTTTATTTTATAAAAGTTTACTACTTACTTTCATAATGTCGAAGTGTAATACGTGTGTCATATAATCAGGTATTTCTGTCAATAGAGTCCAGTAGCCCCAATTCTGGCCGCAATGGGCTATTATAATAGCCCACATGGGTGCCGAAGTAAAGATCTCTTTCCATGGCGTTTGCAATTTCTGAAAAATATATAAACTTATAAAAACAATATGTGTATAATATTACATATATATTACATATCCAGCAAACAATTTGGTTGTCAGATGTCGCGATTTTGTCGCCAACCGCCACACCAAATCCATATCCATCTGTGTCCTCCGTAGGATATGGTTTTGGTGAGTTTTGATGACCATGTTGCGTTTTTTGTGTCTGTGTGTCAACAGCTTTGGCAGCACACAAAGCATGTTTCCGTATTGTAGCGTTTCTGCACACAGTTTCTGTTGCCAGATCTACGCAGTCAGAAATTGTTTGCTGGGTATATATATATATATATATATGTATAATAATATTATTATTATATTTAAACTAACATTACAATTGGTCATTAAGGAGGATTTGGTCGCGTTATTCCGAGAAAGGGAATCAGATGATACCTACCTTACCGACATTAACATTTAGTAAAATTTATTAATTTTCACTTTGTTATATACAATTTAGTGTTGTCTATTTTAAATGACTAAAGTAATAAAACAGCTAATTATTAATGATATAACAGCTGATTATTGAGCTGGATTGTGCTATTGCTACTTTTTCTTTAAACTAATCTTACAAATCATCGTCTCAATATATACTATATGTATGTACTTTGTAATATTACTTTAATATTTCAAGTTTGAATATAGATATAAAAATAATAAATTAGGAAAACATTCTTTAAGAACTTAGGAATTACTGCGCAAAAAATAAAAAGACCTTTTCATATACCTGAAAAAAGAAAAATTGTTAAAAGTTATTATTATTGTATAAAAATAGCCATATTCGCACTTTTAGGGCTTCGAAATCCTTTTTGAAGCACTCAAAATATTCACCTATGTTTCTAGTTTCCCAGTAAGGTATTTTTGTTTGGATTCGTACGGTCAATTTTGCACTTAAAGTAAAAATGTAGTTTGTGTAATAACAGTCTATAAACTTTTTTTTGTTTTTCTTAAATTCTTATGTCTACTAGAAATTCCCGAGAAAAAATGATTGGATTAGATCTAATTTAAATCTAACGAGATAAAAAAAATGGAAAAATAAATCTAATTACCCTTACAGAAATTTATTACTGGTGTGGCTAAAATACTACTTATTTTGAGTAATTCAGCAGTAATTTTAATACTCAAAATTACTGACAAACTGTGGTTTAATTACTCAAAATAAGTATTATTTTGGCTACGTTAGTAATAAATTTCTATAAGATCTAAATTAAATCTAAATAAATATAAAGTAAATCTAAATAGATATAAATAAATCTATGTAACTATACTTTTTTATTTATTATTAGATCTACTTTTAATCTACTCAGATCTATTATATTAAATCACCTCAGATCTGTTCAGATCTGCTTAAATCTAAGTAAATCTGAGTAGTTTTAATATAGTAGGTCTGAGTAAATCTAAAGTAGAGATTTAATAATATATAAAAATGTAAATTTAATAGATCTACTTATGTTTATTTAGATCTACTTTATATTTATTTAGATTTAATTTGGATCTAATTAATCTATTTTTCCTTTTTTTCATCTCATTAAATTTAAGTTAGATCTAATCCATTTTTCCCCGGGTTTTTAGTATATTCTCTGTTTTTTGAGGGGAGAAACGTTTTTCATTCTGATTAATAGTTTGTACAAAAAATTTGAATTACGAAATGTGAGTAAAACAGAACAGTACAGCATCCTCTTAAGAGCCAAACGCTGGATGTTCGTGCAAAATGAATATACAGGGTGTCCCAGAATTGCCGTACAATCGCTCGTAGGCAGGTAGAAGGAGTAAAACTGAGTCACTGAGGAGTAATTATTGAGTAAATCAGGCCAATCAGCGCAGATCTTTAGCCAGGCACACGTCAGTGAGCCGCGCGCCTGGTGTGTGTGAGCGCTCACTGACGTGTGCCTGGCTAAAGATCTGCGCTGATTGGCCTGATTTACTCAATAATTACTCCTTTATTATAAATAATAGAAAAAAATGGTTCGGAACTTTTCGACTCAGTTTTACTCCTTCTACCTGCCTACGAGAGATTGTACGGCAATTCTGGGACACCCTGTATATAAATATATATTATATTAATATATTATTTTATATTATTTCAGTGTAAATTTTTACAACTGAATTTTTGAATTGAAAATTCAATTCTTTCATCTATATAGAATGCTGAATGTGCATCACATATATGAGAAATGCCCGTTACCTTCCCTAATTTTAAAATATTGCGAAAAAAAAACTTCAGCCAGAAGTCGAACCTGGAATCTCTTGCTTTCTGTGCGATTATTATATTTGTTTATATACAAATTTGAACATTGCGCATTCACACCTGATTTGTTTCTTTCTCCTCTGTTGTTTTCAGACTTTCTTCTATATATTCTTTCTCTTCCTGGGAAATACCACGATAAGTGGATGGTGCGTCTGCCCCTAAAATAAAGAAAACCACGCTCCAGACGATTGATAATGTACCAAACGTGTAAAAGATGAAGGGCCATCCTACATCCGATGCAGCAAAAGCTCCGGAAATCGGCATAGTAATTACTGTTCCAAATTGAGCGCCCGCATAAGCAAATGTTGCTGAAATATAAGCAGAATAAATTATATTATCTACTTGAGAGAGAGAAAGAAAGAAAGAGAGAAAGAGAGATAAATAGATAGATAGATAGATAGATAGATAGATAGATAGATAGATTGATAGATAGATTGATAGATTGATAGATAGATGCTTTATTTATATTGCGCTCTGGGACAGCCTCCTCAAGCGCATAAAAGAGAGAAAAAAAGAGAGAGAGAGAAAAAAAGAAATACAATTAGTACACGAAAATTTATTTCGCAGTAATTTTTCTTTGTTGATTCTATCTGTATAAAACAAAAACTTTTGGCGCTTTTAATAATTTTTATATTTTCTCTTCGTTCAATGTACTAAGCGGGAATTCTTACCCAGTTGTGCCCTCTCAGACGGCGGTACCCACTTCGATAGAAGGGCATGAGCGCAAGGTAATAGGCAAGCCTGAGTAAGACCCATGCCTACCCTGCAAACCAGAACAGCCACCAAACCCCAACTGCTAGCGACGATCGGCAGCACGACATTCAGCACACCGCAAATCAGCATCCCAATGCTAAGGAGTTTCTGACCACTCCAGATGGTGGCGATGTAGCCGCTAGGTATCTGCGTCACCAAGTAGCCCCAAAAGAATGAGCTCAGCACTAAACCCTGCTCATCTCCATTCCAACCAAAATCCTGATGGCAATAAATATGCAATTATATTTCTACATATTTTAAACATCACATAGCTGAAAATTTTTTCTCAATTATTGAACAATTTCTTTGTGAAATTAATTTTGCAAATATATACTGCTAAGATGATTCGCCATATCGTTATTCTTTTGCCGAAATAGTATTTGGAAAGTAATTTTGCAAACAACTACAAATATTTCAAAAAAGATCAATGTTTTTGCATCTATTTCCTAAAATATGTCTGTATAATTGCATATTACAATTTTAGTGCAAGATTTCGTCACATAATTTTGTAAATGGTTTCCTATCAGAGTATAAGTCACATCTTTTAGCTTTAAGAACAAATCTTTGTACAAAAAAAAAGTTATTTACTTTTAAACACAATTGTGCAAAGTCAACTTACAGAATTGGTTGTCACATATTTATTAGATAAAAGAATTGTAAGATAAATAAGTTCTTTTTTTATGGTTTTTTTATTACAATTAGTGAAATCATAGAAAGTCATTATACAAAATGTAACTATTTATATATAAAACATCAAGAAAATATTAATAATTATTAGGGATGTGTGTATACCCAAAAATACAGGTCGGGTCGGGTGAGATTCCGAAAGTTTGTCTAATATATGTATAAATTTGTTTGGATACTCGAATACTTTTGGGATGAAATTTTTAATTTGAGACCGGAAATTCGACTCAAGATATTCTATTCAGGACCTGGCATTCAACTCAGGACATAATTTTTCCGACTGATCTTAAATTTTAAATTTGGAAGTGTTTTCATATGTCGTGTAATCAAATGTAAGAATAAAAAGAAAAAAGCGTTACACAATATCCCAGGCAATCAGCTGACGTTGTAATGACGTTAATATGAAGTCAGTTTTTGGCCCGTTCGACGTTAATTTACGACGTAATATTAACGTAATGGCGACGTGAGTTTGTCTCGTCACAAATATAACGTCAAGTTAATAACGTTTCCTTACGTCATCAATCTGACGTAACGTGACATCCTCCATAGCACGTAATATTACTGCAATATCACAGTAATATTGTTTTTCCAATGCAATAGTACACTCTCTAATATAATAAAAATATTACCAAAATGTTAATGTAATATCACAATAATATTAGAATGTCCGCCGAAATGCATCATACAAAGTAGTAATCATACAAAATTTTTTGTTAACATGTACTGATTATTAAAGTCAATTCTTAATAAATATATACCAAATGATATAGAAAGATATGTATACACATTTATATGTATATCAATTTTTTTTATATAATAATTATTATATAGTAAAAATGTTATACACACACCAATGTTTTTTGTTGATATAATATATTTTGAAAACAAAGCATTTATGTTTTAAGCAAAAGTTAGGTTTTTACAACAACGTAGCAAAATATATGTATCATATTATATATAAGATACAATGCGACGTATGCAACATGCTAAATAGTAAATAACATCAAATGACATCTCTAACGTTCATAAGACATATTGTAATAAAAATCATTTGATATATATAATCTTGCTACTTAAGATGCAGTACAATATTACCGTACTATTTCAATATTATATATAAAAATGTAATATATTGATAATATTGTATTATAATATCTAATATTACTGGTATATTGCAATTTTATTGTGATATTTCCGTAATATTACGTGATGTATGGAATCTTATATATAATACATAAATATATACTCAAAAACATATTTTTAACAACCGTGTTATTTAAATAACGTCATTATGACGTCTTACTCACTTATTTCAACTGACGTCACTCCAAAAACCAATAGTTACATTATATATGACGTATACGTGTGACGTACATACTGACGTCATTGTTATGACGTTCAAAATAACGTCAAATTTAGGTCATAATCACCAATTAGTGACAAAAACCACGTATATTTACGTCATTACAACGTCAGCTGGTTGCTTGGGATAATGTATGAAAAATTATTTTATTTTCAAAATCATGTCCCAAATCGAGTAATGCGTCCCGAGTTGAATTTCGGGTCCCAAATCAAAACTTTCATCCCGAAAATACGGGTTCCCGAACTTCATCATGAGAAAAGAATATTTTCCTGTATGTAGTAAGCAAGATGTAAGCTGCGTGACAACTATAATTTGATCTTCTCACCGCAAAAGCATCAAATATCAAATTTGTATTATTTTTCGTTGGAATTCTATTCGAACCGTCACGTTTATAATCTAAAAATATTTATTTGTGCATGCAAATATTCTCAAAACCTAGATTAAATAACTCGGCAAAAGATTATAGCAACGTGAGATAACAACTGTCACAATAATGATCAAGATCTGCTAATTTGTTATCAGCTTTTTTTATGACGTAAATACAACGATGATCATTATCTACGTCAAGATATACGTAAAAAAAAGTTACGCATAGTGAACGTATCAGCCTTATTACTGTTTTTTGACAAGACAGCGATGATAAGTTGCCGCGGAAGATTTGATTGGTTATAACAATTTATCTGGCACACTGTGAATGAAAAAAGCATTGCGCGCACAATCTAATGCACTTTACTCCCTTGATTCTACGAACACGAGGAAATTTCCTTCTTCTAACACAGATTCCGTACTAGTGACAAAGTGAATTTGTCAGACTGTTCGTGATCGGTAAAAATTGACGTAAACGACAATTAAACGGTGCCGCTTGATTAATCAAATTTTATTTAACGGTTTTAGTTAACGGTTTTAAATATAAAATATTACAGAGATGTGTGTCAAACAATATTCTTTGTATACTGCGTTAGTGCAAATAACAGACATAGATAATGTTTTCCGTCGCTAATTACTTCAATAATTTGATACAAGTGTAATTGAAGCAAAGCTTATTTTTTTAAATAGTTAAATAGTTAGGTTTTCTTTTAATAGTTAAATAATTCAACTATGACTGCGCATGACACATAAAAGATATAATAGTGTTGTACATGCACAAGACTTTTCCGAGTAACAACAATGAGTTCATCGCGTTGTCGTTACGTAAGAAACCGTATTTGATACGCTTCTCCGACAATCGTGGGAGTGATTAATCTTCAAGTGTTTTGAAACGCCATTCAAACGCTCGATATTCGAACTACACAAATAAGAGGACGGAATTGCAGAGAATGTTACCTCGATATTCGGATTCGCGGTGCTCGCGTTTGCCATTGCCACTACGGCCACCGACATTCCAACTCTGAGACTGTATCCGATGGTCATGCCCAAGAACAGCAGTAGTACCTGCAAATGCCTGATTCCGAGGGTACCTGCGAGTAGATTTTTATTTAATTAATGAACAAATTGTACAGACAGATAATTAATTAATGAGTGAATGTGACTCGCGCAAACATATAAAAATTCATGTTTATCAAAGTCTGATATGGAGTTCTTACAGAAAGTTCTTTGCCGATACAATTTGGACAACTTTGTATTTTATGTTTTTTTACATAATCTTACTTAAATTGTGATCGTCTCGTTAGTCAATGTCTTTACCATGATACTGATTGCGCGATTTATATATGCAAATTTGTTTTCCCTAGGAGTTTCAAAATTAAAAAATCAATTGTGTCACATTGATTAACAATGATTTAATAATTGTTGTAAAGTTATACATCAAGAATATATGTGCAAAACAACAAGAAAACAATTTTATTAACCGTATTGATTGTAAAACTATCTGGTAGTTGAAGATTTACTATCGTTTTTACATAATAATAACCGATAATACAACGAAAAGATAATAGTTTTTTATAAAACAATTCTTTGTTCTTAAAGTATTTACAATTAATAGTTTTTTTATTAAAATATCAAATATTTTTTGGAAATATATACACACGTAATTTTACATACATTTCAGTAATAATTTTTTTTGTTTTTTAAAAAAAATGCTATCGCACCGAGCTTCAAGTGTTTTTTATGTAAACTCCTTGTAATGTTGCCATTTTTGTTTTACGCAGTTCAAAGGAGTTATCGTGGTACAATATACCTCAAAAGTATAATACCGCGAGCTGCGCGCGCCTGGATTCATTGCGTACTTTTCATTTTTCTTTCAAAGCCTAACTTTTGTAAGTGACTGTTTGCACAGTGTTTTGTGTATACCCGCATTATGGACGCGTTTCATGCATATGCGCGCATTTATTCATAGTACACGTTACATATACTGTAGATCATGCGCATATATGCATGAAACGTGTTTTATATCGCGTCTAATCTTCCGCGTTTTGAACTTTAAAATATTTTGGAAACTGTGAAGCTAAGCTTTCTGAAATTCAATTATAATATAGCAAGTATAATACTTAATAACATATTACTTTTTAAAAACTTCTCTAAATTTTATTTTGACGCTATAGTGCTTGCAAAATATGCTTTTCACAACGATTCTTTTATAAAATTCAATGTTAAAACTCGCAACTTTTTGGAAATTTATATCTCGACTTTGGTGAAGCTGAGCTCTCTGAAATTGACATGTTGTACATAATAATGTTATTTACACGTGGTAATTTTTTCAAAAAATTCTTAAATTGTTCAAAAATTACGATAACCCTTTTAAAAAATCTCTTGTAACTCTCTCTTGTAAAAAATGATTACGTTCAGAAAACTCAACAGTTGCACAATGGTTGAGAGATCATCACTTGTAATAGGATTATTTTTCAAAATCTTTCAAAAGTATGATCAAATCGTAAGTGATCATCTCTCAACCGTTGTGCAACTATTGAGTTTCTGAACGTAACAAATGAGCGAAAGTAACAAAAAATTATTTTTCTTATATTAAAATTATTTTTCTGCAAGAATCAAATAGCAAAAATAAGAATAGTTTAAGGACGTTGAAATATCTTTACGCGTTCCAATGTTAAGTGTATATGTATATACTGTATATATAATGTTAAGTATATATATTTACATATCGGAAAGCTTGAACTTCAAACTTTTAATCGCCCTTCCTCCCCTCAAAAAAATAATTTAAAATTTTTTCACAAATGATTTGCTCTTTAAAATATTTTTAATAGAGTTTTAATAGAGTTTTAATAGAGAGCGATTATTACTACTATAATTATCGAGTGACGTATCACGTGTGCAGAGAGTAATTTTAGTTATCTATGTTAATCTTGCGATAAGAGACGTAACGAAATCCAATAATTGTTGCAAGTACACGCGAGTCTCGAAAGTGAGTTTCGCTCTTTAGACACGCGGTCTCTAGAAAAACATAAACAAACCATTGTAAAGCAAGTTTTTACAAGCCGATTGTGAATAGGAAAGTTTCGAATAAAATAGAACACAATTCTCAACGGTGGCCTTCGCATATTATGCATAATCCCTTCAATCGGCAATCAATATCGATCTGCATCAAAATCGATTATTGAACAATAAAAAAAAAACCGTTCGTGTAAGTTATCTTTTAATCAGACTTTGTGTTTCACAAGTGTCGCGTTTCTATAATAAAAAGAAAAATTGAAATTCCTGCATGCTAATCCGCCATTACAAAGTCATTCCCTGATCACCGTGTAATTGCGCCGGACGTGTGTCATTACGCAAGTATGTACTGATATTAAAGATAACAACGTGAAGAACGCGGAAAAATGCAAAAAAGAAGCGCACCAGATATACCAGGCTGTCGTTTCTAGATTTATTTATCGATGCTTTTTGCGGACAGAAAAAAGATTTCAAATATTTTTACTGAACATAAACAAAGTTTTTTATTTCAGAAAAGTCGTCTTAACACTTATTGTTCTCGCAGATTAATTAGAAAACTGAGATTTGTTTTATTCTCACATATCGAGTAAAATTACGCGCAAAAGAATTACGCGCAAATACGAAATTTCAGAAAATATCGCGCTATATCGGTGCGGTATTATCAAAGCGAATAAATGTTGCATTCGTTAGAAAATGAATAATATACGTTGGCATTGTGTTTTATGCTCTGTTTTTATGTTTTTAAGTATTATGTAATACCAAAAAGAGACACATAACAAGGAGTCAAAATAGTTATAAAGATAGTAAAGATTATAAAGAATTATAGAAATTATAGAAATTGCAAAAATTGTAAAAAACGTTGTCAAGAAAGAGGTGTAAGAACCGGAAGCCAACCGAAGCCGCCGAGGCAAAGATTACATGCAATAAATAATAAAAATAAATATACGTTGACATTGCGCTAGAAAAAAAATATGCGAAAAATAAAATTCGAATTGTCAGGTTCGATCGAACAGATTAAACGAAGCTACAGATGATAACATTGATAAGTGACGATTTGTAATCAAAATGAGATTTGATAAAGAGTGGCATAAAGCGATCGCGTGTTTAATGATTCGTAATGCGATTCGCAGAGATTTACAATACATAACTTCTCTCTCTCTCTCTCTCTCTCTCTCCTTTTCCAAGGACATGATGTGATTAATTAACGCGCGAACTAACGCGGCAGAAATCCACGATCCTTCGATGATTTCCGAATCATCAATCTGGATGCAGAGCGAGCTCCAAATGTTGATAGCGATTAATCGCGTTCGAACAAAGTGAACTTGCAACGTATATGTGTGTACACTTAGATAAACTCACTGGATACGATAGATAGAAATTATCGAATAAGTTAACAAAATATTCTCAGCTTGCCTTGATGATTATAACATACGTGCAGATAAATCTAGTTGCACAACCGAATTTTGTACATATATAAAAGGCTTGAATAAGATCATATATTTAAAAATATTTGTTTGATCTCACTGTTTCTCAGTTAATATACTTCTTGTCGTAAGTATGTATATATATTATTTGTTTCCCTCTAAATTTAAAAACATAATAATGCACACTACATTGTACACTTTTGCAAAGCACTTTTACATTTTGTTGAAATACGCGCGACACTTTTTTTTATAAATTTGCACGTGATTACATAAGAACAAAATAGTATTAGGTATGTAACTTTCCGCAAACAACACACAAAAAACTCGTTTCACACACACTTTGTTCGTATTTTTTATGTCGCAAACAGCTTGACACATGATAAACCGTTGTTACTTCACAGTCGTTTCACGATTTATATTCGATGCACTATTTTGTAAGTTATTTCACAGAGTTCGAGAGATAATAGTTTTTCTAATATCTAAACATCTTTCGGCTTATTATATATTTTATAATATTTAATTATATAATTAAAAAATTGATACTTTTTGTGCTTTTTAAGTAAATCTTGTTGATAAAAATCATCATTCTGTTTAATTTTATCTCGTTCGACAAATCGCGACAAATACTCTTTATCATATCATTATCTCTCTTTTTTTAAAGCGATTCTTTTACGAGCGCTACTATCACGTTATGTAAAAAATTTCAGAAATCAATTAAACCTTCAAACGATTCTATAGCACACAGAATTGATTTTACAATATAGCCGCGTCTTCGATAAAGATTCGAAGAATTGTGTGTTAGATTGTTGCAAGTTTATCTTGTATTAAAAAAAGAAAACTAACACATCGCATGCATTTTTCCTCTTAAACTCTTAATTCCTACTTGTTTTTTCTTTTTAAAATTATATTATAAAAATGACAATATGTTTGTGTTTATCATTTAAGTCTTTTATTTAAAAAAAACCCGTATAATCTTTCTGTTCATTGTTTTATATTGATTTATTTGGTAAATTTTTAAGTTTTTTGCGATAAAACTGAATTGTGATTTTTCTAATAAGGGGATAATCGCATATATATTATCCTTCAAATGATAAATTTAATAGATCACTGGCAATTTTCTTACAGCTTTGTTGCAGAATCGGAGACGTCACGTTGAACATCTTCCGCGACGCTTTCTCGACGACGTCGGCGTCATCCTCTTTCCCGAAGGCTGTCATTTCACGCGCCGCGTTTCTTTCTCGCACTCTATTGAAATCCTAATCTCACAGTCGTGGCAATATTTATACAACAGACGCGCGCCCCTTCCTTGTCACACCGCGACACATGGTCTTTCTCTCTTTCTCTTTCCATTATCATCGCCGTCTTCGTCGTATCGACGACAGGCTGTTCCGTCGTTCAGCAGGTAAGCTACCTCTTCTCCCTTGCATTTGCAATTGTTCGTGCGCGCATGTCGCTGTCAAAAAACTTGGGATCTTTCGATAGAAACCGGTGAGAATATAAGAAACAGAGGAACTCTCAAGGAACCTCGAGGTCGTTTTGCAGCAAGACGATCAGCCTTGAGATACTTTTCTAGCTTTTCGAGCGTTGCACTCGGTATCAAACGTTTCGTGGATGTTATCTGTCTCATTAGAATAATATACAAATGTGAATTTTAAACACTGGAATTGTTCAATTTGAGAATCAGATCAATCATAACAATCTGAGAACTTGTATTAATTACAATTTATTTAAGTCAAAATAATATATATAAAATGTGAAAAAATATCTTTTCTTAAATTGTTTAACTATCTATACTTGGAATTATATAATATACTATAGATCTTTCCTAAGGACAAAATGTACACATGAATCTTTTTCACAAAAATGTGTTGTTCTTTTCAAAATTTTTGAAATCTTAAAATACAACAAAAACAAAATATGTAGTTTCAATTGTTATGTCTGTTGTACAGTTTTTAATCAATTTCGTTTCTCTTAAATTTTAATAGAGTGTACATTTATCCCCCGTTAGATCATTTTAACACATTTACTTTTTAAAACTCTATATATTTATTTACATGTGTCATCTCGTTAACTAATATATATCTATTCGATATTTGTTCTACCTAAATGTGTTATTTATTTCGTATAAAATTACTCTCTTATATATATTTTAAGATTTTTAAGTGATTGCTTGAAACCGTTGTTTGCAGAAAGACTCCCGACAAGAGAAATGATTTTCGCAAAATCTGACAATCAATTACTTTCGATGCTTCTTTCTAACAGGTTCATCTATAATGCTGCTGTCTGTTTCATTGCTCTTTCTTGCGAGTTTGCTGGAACGTCGGCCTGTTTTCTCTGGAGTCGGGCACACTGCCAAATCTGGAAGACTACAACACAAATATAATAATTATTATTACGAGAAATAATTTCTGTTCTAAAATTTACAAATATTTATCTTTTAATTCTTGTTATTGTGTGTGTATGTATATTACATTTTACTACATATATGTATGTGTACGATATTAAAAATTGTATGTTGAAATTCAGAATAAACAGAATCGCAAGAAGGAATTATCGTTTGTGATGAATATTCGAAATGTTTAATCTTTTTTGATAGAAATTATATATGATATATAATAGTTTTAATAAATTTTTTTATTGATTTTTTCAATTCTGCATAAAAAACTACTAAAATAAGAGATTATTAAACAATTAAACAATTAAATTACAAATATATATATATATACTTTTTATTATTTTTATTCTAAATATACATAAACAAATTTATATGATTTTTCTATCATAATGACTTACGTGTTCATTAACTGTTTGTATTTATTTAATTAAATTTAGATATTTATTTCCAATTTTATTTATTGTTTATTGTTTTTTATTTATTGTTAGTAGAAATGCACGAAAATAGATAATTGCAATCGACTGGTAATAATAAATGAATCTTCAATAGATTGAGTTCTTATTCAAGTTAGATAAAAAAGTTGACTTGTGTGTGTGAGGATTCAAAATATCGATCTGAATACTCACTTCAATTGATCAAGTTCCGTTTGTTCTTCTGGTAATTTCTTTTCCGTGTTGTTATTGTTAGTCAAGGGTGCGGTATTCTCTTTATGCGATTGTGGCTGACTGCGTTGCGTCTGTGTAACTTGGGACGCGTAAGTTCTTGAGGTAACTTGCTTGGGTGGTTTAATATTGTTGTTCTCATAATAACGACCCAAATGAATGGTCACGCTCTTAGAACAGTTGAACGTTTTGTAAATACCCACTAAGTAATCGGCTAACTCAAACATGTTGGAGCGCAGCGAGATGACGATGAACTGCGCGTTCTTTGTGCGCTCCTTAATGTAATTACCGACGATTGAAACGTTCTTGAAGTCAAGCGCCGCGTCGATCTCATCCATAAAGTACACCGGCGTGGGTTTGTAATGATGAAGAGCGAAGACAAGCGCCAACGAGCTCAATGTTTTTTCACCACCGCTAAGATTACTTATGTTTTTCCACGATTTTTTGGGCGGTCGCACACTAAACACGATACCCTCGCTGAAAGGATCTAACGAGTCTACCAGTTCCAGCTCAGCGTCGCCTCCCAGTGTGATCATCTGATACATTTCTTTCAACTTTGTGGTAATCAGGTTAAAACCTTGAAGAAATTCTTGAACTCTGCGTCGTCGGGCAGTTTCATAAATATCACGCATCTTGTTACGCTCTAATGTCATCTCCTCCAGATCGGCGGCACGACGTATGTAAAGCGCGTCTTTCTCCTGGTAATCCGCGATGATTTTCATGTTGGGTATTTGATCAGGTAGTTTTACCTTTGTCTTTTGCAGATTCTGCGCCACCGTTTTCACGTCCAATTGCTCTATTTCCTCTTCTGTTAGCTCCTTGAGCGGCTCCACAGTCTCGTGGGGAATCGTTTGCAATTTTAATCCCGCTATTTTCCGATTATATTCGGGAATCACCTGCTGAAGTTCTTTCAACAATTTCTTACACTCGTGAAGTTTCTGGTCTAGATCGACCCTCGTAACTTTTATTTTGTCCTCTTGCGCTTGCAAAACGTTCAATTCTTCTTTCAAAGATGACGTGGCGTCGTTACGTTCTTCTAGCGCTTTATTGACTTCTTCAAGTTCGTCCAAAATTACTTTAGCATGTTCCTCGAGCTCGGTTTTCTCTTTCTGAATCTCTCTCAGTCTCTGCTCACAGGTGTGCAAGTCGTTCTCTAGCGTTTCTATATGCTTTTCCGTCTTTTTCACATTTCTCTCGGCGGTCTTAATGGCCACCTGCAAACGACATATCTCTGCCTTGGCCTTGTCTATCGATTTGGTTAGCTCCGCAATTTTAGCCTGCTGATCTCGCACCCGATTGCCGGAGATCTCATCTATCTTCTTATTGATGCGTTCCACCTGTTTCTCTACCGTGGCGGAACTCTCTTCGACTTTGTCAAGATTAGATTTTGCTGCGTTCATTGCTTTCTGCAGTTGCGCGACTTTTTTCGGATCTGATACTGACTCCGCGGCTTTCTTCTCTTGTGCCTTGAGTTGAGTTCGCAACGATGGCTCTTGCTCCTTCAGCGTTTGCAAGTCAATTTTGAATTTGTTTCTATCAACCGTCATGTCTTTCAAAGCGGTCGTTAACACGTGGATCTGCTGTTCCAACGGTTGTTGTTTCGCTCTAAGTTTATTACAGTCTTCGAATACAACATCTAGTTGTGATTGCAGCTTCTCGATATCGGCATTTGACGGTTCGTTTCTCACTACTTTTTGGCCCATTCGACCACGCAATACTGTACGCCCGCCGCCGCTCATCGTGCCCGACAATTCGATCAATTCTCCCTTCAGCGTCACCACGCGATAACGCGTCGCGCCATACGCAATACGCGTTGCTTGATCCAAGTTCTCCGCTACCAGAGTGTCCTGCAGACCGTAGTAGAACGCCGGTAACACTTGCTCGTCTTCCACTTTGATTAGATCAAACAAACGAGGTACATTTTCTGGCGTTTGGATCTTGCGACTGCATTTGGATAGAAAACGTTGTTGCTTTTCCAACGGTATGAACGTGGCACGTCCTATATTGTGTTGCCGTAGATATGTAATGCATGCCTGCGCCGTGGTCACTGTATCCACGACAATGTTATCCAACGGTCCGCACGCTGTCGACACGGCGACATCATACTTCGCATCGATGGCGCCTAAGTCACCCTACGTGAAGAAACAAACGTAGATAATAGAAAATAATAATAATAATAATAATAGAAAAAAAGACCTCGACGACTCACAAGTCTTCCGAGTATTCCAGGTATTCGTCCCTCTCGTTTCTCTCTCATCAACGTATCCAAAATGTGACTACGCGACTTGCTGGCCTGCATAGCGGAACGTTGCTCTTCGAAAGTAATTCGCATCTTTTTCAACTGAGCCGTCATCTCGCTCTCGCGTGCCTTCGCTTCGTCCAGTTCGTCTTGCGCCTGTTTTAAACTACGTTCAGTTGCTGGGATCTTTGTCTCGAGCAACGCCAATTGCTTTTGCCGCTCATTAAGAGTGTTAGTAGTCTTCTCCACGGTTTCCCGAAGACTTTCAAGCTTTTCTTTCTCAATCTTTTCTACCGATGTATAAAGTTCTAACTCGGATCGCACAATATCGTATGCTGCCTTCGCCTGATCCACATTTTTTCTAAGAGCTATCAACTTCTTCTCCAACTCAGATCGTTCGTTCAGCAATGGTTCCGTCTTTTTTTTCAATCCTGTCATCAAAGTTGACAACGAAGTCTCTTCCTTTTCTTTATTCTTCATATGTGTCTCAATTAAGTGTTCACACTCTTCTATGTTTTTTTCATTCTTCTCTGGTACTTTTAGTAATTCTTCCAGTTTGACTTTTTCCTACCATTACCATACAAAAAAGTTACTATATAAATATATGTCTATATAACTCTTATTATAACTTTATATAAATTTTTATACATATCGTATATATAAATTATCAAATGTGAAATATGCAATAATTAATAATTTTACTAATAATTTTATTGTAAATCCGAATAAAAGATTACCGTCTTGATGGATCCCATGTTTGCTTTTCGTCGCTTGTTCGTCTCGACTAGTTCGGCGTGCAGCGACTCGTCTTGTTTACGCAATTGATCAAATTTCGCTGCTATTTCATCTTTCTGCCGTTGTAGAATATCCCACTTCTTGTTTTTCTCTTTTATGATGTTAATCGTTGCTTTTTTCTGCTCTTGAATGCTTTTCATCTCATCTAACAATGTGGTTAGTTCCTTGTCTAGAGTATCAGTCTTCGCTTCTTGCTCAGCAAGCTGTTTCACTGCCTCAGATCTAGTAAAAGTATTTGTGATTCCCATTATCTAAACTATCACGATAGTCTTTAGGTATTCAATGTGAAATAAAACGATTATAAAGTTTATTTTGTAATCTAACTTACTTTTTGCAATGATAAAGCTGATGTTGTAATCTGATTATGGAATTTTCTATTTTTAAGTATTGCAACGCTTCTTGCATAGGCTCCTCTAAGGCCTCTTTCTCTTTTTGCACAACTCTAAGACGATGCAACTTTTCGACTCTACGTTCAGTTAGTGTTTCAACTTTGTCTGATAATTTCTCTAGAGGTTCTTTATAGCGAGTTGTACCTATTATTTCTTCCAGAAACTCCAGCATTCCAGTATCATTTTCATTTTGTCCCTTCGGCTTCATTAATGCAATCTGCTCGACTTCACCCTGTTAAAAATTTGTTATTTATTAATATAAAATATACATATTACAAAGACCTATTAATCATAAGGAAAGAAAATATAGACGTAATTTTATTATAAATAAAACCAATAAATATCTTACTTGTAATATTAAAAATCGATTGTGATCCAAGTCAACTCCATAAGATCTTAGTAGTTTTCCAATTTCCTTAAATTGTACTTTTCTTTTATTAAGTTCATAGTAAGATGCACCATCTTTAAATGCCGTTCTGGATATAACAAATTGACTTTTAGGAACAACCGTATAAGCTTCTCCAGGCTTAAAATAAATTTAATAATTATTTTCAGATTTCTTAACATTATAACAAAAGATTTTTATATACTTTATAATGAACATTATTAAAAAAGAGTATATCTTACCTTGTCAATAATTTGTTCAAAATGCACAGATACAGTACAGCTATTAATATTTGACTCCTTCTTAGAATTGTGTATTAACACTGATATTTTTTTTGATCTGATCTTAGTGGCTCGATAACCAAATACAAATAGCATAGAGTCTATCACATTGCTCTTGCCACTTCCGTTTGGTCCAACTATTGATGAAAAACTCTAAGAAAACAGATAGTTTTAACATAATATTCCACAAAGATAATGCAAAGATATGCAAGTTTATATTCTGTATATAAAATGTTTACTTTGTGAAAAGGACCAATAATTTGTGTGCCAGCATAGCTTTTGAAATTCACATTAACAATCTTATTAATCATGAGCCTTGGACCAGTTGTGTCCACTTCACTGAAGGTTTTAGGTGGTGGTGGGATATATATTTCATCGTCCACTCTTAAGCCACCTTCGTCATCGGTATCATACCTATCTGCGTTCCTCTCATCAACTTCCAAATTGTCACCAGAGATGTTCTTTCTATTCTGCGATTGACTGGTCATTCTGTTAAAGTTTAGTTGTCTAATGCTCTTATATTGATGTCATTAGAGAATTTATAAGCGTATTTGTATTTCTTTAATGCAGGACCTATAATAACAATTTAAGACATAAGACTTAAGAAGGTATAGTATTAAGCTTTAAGAAGGTATAAGGTCAGTATCTACTATCTCCGATTAAGTCTTACCGATCGATCGCAAGTCACTTGCAATTGGTCATTTTAATCAATCGACCGATATAATTGGTGATTCCAATGAAATAATCGACTGATTACGAGCCTGTGAGCACAATAGAGAAAATATTAGGAATAAGAATTAGAAATAGAAGTTAAAATGTACTATACAATGACGAAAAATAAAATATAACATATAAATACAAGTATGTCATGGCTGCATGATATACAGGCTATATTTATACACATTTATATTTTTTTTTTTTTTTTGCATTGTACATAACATTTAACCTGTTTTTAATTCCTATTCCTAATATTTTCTCTATTGTGCTCAGGCCCTAAGTTAATCAGAGATGGTGAAAACAGGCTATATACCTCTTTTAAGCTTAAATCTTCCGCCTTAAATTCTTATTCTTCTTTAATCTTACTTTGAACTTCTTAGCACACCATTTCTAAATTCAATTGATACGTATTTGGTACACAAATCACTAACTTGTTTTTTTCGTTAATTGAACATACCGGCCTCACTTAGGCGACTGAAGGTTAGGTCGCCAAAACTATTGTTGGCGAATACACTTATTGCACTATCAGCGACAATCAGTGCGGTTAGATAATCTCAAGTTATTAGTAACAAAGTAAAACAAGTGATCAAAACAATCTTGCATATTCTCGCAAAAAGAAAGAGATCAATCGCATAAATGATATTTCTGTTTCCCGCGCAGAGCTCCGTAAGTCGAATCACTGATATCACTGCACTTTCCCGATTATTACCTAAAATACTCCAATCCAAATTTTCGAGCCAATGCAGCACACTTTAGCACATTATTGCATATCGCGAATTGAATCAAGCAAGTGATCAAACAAATATTTTATAAATGTTTCAATACTCGCATTTTGGTATTACGTATACAACGTTTCTCTGTTGTTACACACTCTGACCCTGTTCGGTTATTACTGGCAGTATTGAAAAATCTATAGTATACGTGACATGAATCTATAGATTTTCAGTACTGCCAGTAAAAAACGAACGCAGCCTAACAATCAAGAAAGCGTCTTCAGTGAATTCAAACGCAGGTCTCGCGCGAATAACAAACTCACTATTTTTAACGCGGCAATTTTAAATCAGGCTAGAGATTCAACCCAAGATAATAAGATGTTGTTAAATTTGTTTTAAGAAAGTTTTTTGAACTTCTTCTTTTAGATAAATATTCTCAGTAATGCGCTTTTTGTCTTTCGCAAATTAACGTATCGCGTATCGCAGACATTCGTTTTAAAATTTGTGAAACATGTAGATTAGTATATGAAAAAGGGAAAGTGTATGCTCATAAAAATCGAATTGAAAAACACGTTAATAATGTCGCATAGAAAAATATATATAATTCGTATTTGTATTTTATATCATCATTATGTAATCTATTATACTTCATTGAAAACAAAACTTGAAATAAGCTAACCGTAAGTAGGGCTATTCGAGAACGTGTAGCGAATGACTCCGTGGCGCAACGGTAGCGCGTCTGACTCCAGATCAGAAGGTTGCGTGTTCAAATCACGTCGGGGTCAATTGACGTTTTTTGCTATTTTTTTTCTCATATATTAAATATTTTACAAATATTTTTTGCACATGGTAGTATTTTTAGATTTATTTTGTGATCTTTTGTAATATATAAGATTTTTGATTAGGATGAGTTTGATCAACTTCGATTGACTGTTTGATTGTTTTAATATGTGGAATTGCACGCGATCAATTGCAGATCTAATGCATCTGTAAATGCACTATCAAAATCGTTAGACCACATTGTGTTGTTGACTTATGTTTGATGCACTTTAAGATCGTTCTGCATTAGTCTCAAGTAGCAGATCTCGCGGAATTGACCAATCATATTGGTCAACTGATTGATTTGGTCAATGTCGATTAGTCACTTCCGCAAAACTTGTAACTTGTGTTTGCGTCTTGCGATTAATATATAGAACGACGTTTAAAAATAAGAATTTAAGAGTATCATAACCTCAAAAGTGCTCAAAAATCGACAATAGCTAAAGTGTAACGGCTAAAATTATACTCTTGTCTTAAATAGATAAAACACAACATGAAAGTGTAAATGCATTATTAATTGTAAATCAAATTGTTTATATATTACATTTAAATATATTAATTTTATATTCTCCTTCAGGATAAAAGGCAACTGGAATACTCTTTTAAGTAATTACGAAGTATTGGATATTTTACAACAGAACACAAAATCCTATAAGAAAAAGAAAATGAATCAACTGGCAACTATTACATATCAAACTATTAAGTATTTGGAAGATACACCATGCAAAAAGCAGACTCCAGATATCATAAATCAATTTTTAAGAGCAATGGAACCTTTCAAACTGACAAAAGCAGAGAAGCTTGCTCTTCTTAATATTTGTCCCACCACACCACTCGAGATACAATTGGTAAAATTTTGCTTTGTTTAAAATACTCTAGATGAAGCATCAATATGACTGCTACAATAACTTTTTAAACACTCTTTAAATATACTTTGTTTTAAATTATTGTAAATTTTAACTAAAGAATATATCTTATAGTTAATAGAGGAGGCTGAAGAACGACTAACGGATGAAGAAGTAGAGACTGTGCTTCAAATAGTAGCAAAAGTACGAAGAGATGACCAAGATACAGAACAAGAAACTTAATCTCTAGACTGTAACATAACTTATTAAATATATTTTGTAGTATGTACATTTTTATTTATAATAAACACAACTTTTCCGAATAGAAATAGCATAATACAATATTGTGTGTATATAATGTTAATAATCTTATCTCTTATGATCTCCAAGATCATCTATAGAATCTTCATCGATCTGTAAAAAGAAAGAGCAAAGTAAGATAATTGTGCATTTAAAACTCTTGCTGACTGCACAACTTACTTGTGGCCATTTTTCAGGTATCACTTCGAACAGATCATCCTTGACATCTCCCTGTATGACAATTTCATCTTCCCCAGTAACACTGGATCCACAAGCAAATTTACTGCCAAAAAATTTTGCTGCTACTTTTAAGTCTATATCTAAAAAATTCAAATTTTTTTTAAATATTAGAATTTGTTTTTTTTGACATTAGATTAAGTCCTCATTTAATATGTAATTTAATGTTTAATATTACCAAAGGTGCTAAGACCAGTCACAACTGTAACAGATTTCTTTTTTCCTCTTGGTGCTCTAGAAACCGTGACTAATCTTGGTACATCTTCTTTTTTTTTGGTCTTCAGCATACCCTTTCCACCTCGTTTCTGTCTCTTCTTTTCATCTTCTCCTCCACCAGCTTCGATAGAGCCATCTTCTGTAGCTGATTCAGAAATATTATTTATATTAAATATTATTTATATAGATAGAAGCTCATACTATTATATTGTAGAAAATTTAAACTTTTCTAGAAATTACCTAATTTTATCTTTTCAAACTCTGTAGGAAGGTTTCTCTCCAACCATTGCTTACATTTATCATAATCAGGATAGTACTCACAATACTGTAAAAATTAGTATTTGTTAGATCTCAATTTTTTTGTAGTGTTTTTATTATCAGTTTTTAAAAAATAAATAATATTAAATATATCTCTCAAAAAATAAACTACAAATGTAACTTCTAGTAACTGTTTACTTCCATTGATTTTTTACGCAAGATCTTTTTTTTACATAAATTATTAAAAACTACTTAGTTTACCTCAATAGGCAGCGAGCAATTCCCGCAATAATGAACCTGAATAGGATAACTGACATTAGGATTGGGTCCTAATCGAAATTCCGGCTGTTGTTCCTCTGCCGACATTCTTGCAGTCTAACCTTAGTCTTTATCAACGTTTATCAAAACTCTCTCGAAAGTTACCTAAAAAATTTCTTGTTGCAACTTTAATTAGCTTTCACGCTAAAACTGCAGCAACTTTTTATTTCTGTATAATCCTTTACCGTCAAAAAAACGTAACACCTCGCGCGCTTTTAGGTTACGAATCACCAAGATTCAAGACCAATTTTTATGAAAATCTGACATTGGCTGTGTTCCAAAATTCACTGCCAGCGCTAAAGATCTATAGTTCACGTCACATATATTATACAATTTTAGCACTGGCAGCAATTCTGGAACACAGCTAAGGGTTGGTTTATAAGGCCTGGTTTATGCGAGCAATAACTGTTAACTTATGCCGGAACCGGTAGAGTTTAACCAGAGAGAAAGGTCTGGTTTATGCGGGCAAATAAGGCCTTGTTTTGGCCTTGTTTATGCGGGTAATAACTGTTAATTTATGCCGGAATTGGTACAGTTCAACTATAGGATTTCAATGCTTTTGTTATATTCTGTTATGCTTCTGTTAATAAACAGAAATATTAAAATCTTAGGCTCGCATAAACCAGGTCAAACCTGAGAGCGGCCATGCCATTGGTCGCATTCAGCAGATACAACTGTTGTACAACTGTTGGGTGAGTGTCTGCTGAACGCACTCTGCTCAGTCACCGCTACTCAACATGTTTAGGGAGCGGACGCCATTTTTTCCATCGAA